AACAAAGGAAGAAGAGGAGGAGGAGGAGGAGGAGGAGGAGGAGGAGCAGGAGCAGGAGCAGGAGCAAGAGCAGGAGCAGTAGCAGGAGGAGAACGAGAACGAGGGATGAGGAGGAAAAAGGAAAATAAGATAACGAGGAGGAAGATGAGGAGGAGGAGGAGGAGGAGGAGGAGGAGGAGGAGTCGAGCGTGCGGAAAGATGAGGAGGAGGAGGAGGCGGACGAGGAGGAGGAAGAGGAGGGGGAGGAGGAGTTGGAAGAGGAGGAGGATGAGGAGGAGGAGGAGGACGACGAAGGAAGAGGAACAGCAGTGCAACCGAGGCGAGATTCGCCGACCTCCTCGTGGCGGCGCGGACCGCGGCGGGGGGGCTCAGAGGGGCCTGTGCAGCGCGCCTGCGCGGGCCTTGGAATGGCTTGCACAATGGTGCAGTCAACCCGTATGATAAGGAAGCGCGGTAAGGATTCGGGCCTCGGAAGGCCATGTTAATGTTTGTTGAACGAGGCTGGCCAGCGAAAGTTACCAAGGATAGGCCGAAGGGACAGGGATGCAATGGTAGCCTTGGAGAGTCGCTCATCCTTACTATGCGGCAGATGCAGTGAGAGAGGCAGATGCAGTAAGAGAGGACGAGGCGCTGAACGCTCATCGGCAGCGTGTCTTCCCTTTCCTCCAGGATGTGCCCTCTCCTGGCACAAGAGGGTGGTTGGGGTCAGGGGCGCGCGAGCGAGTGAGGACGCGCGGAGAAAGAGCACGAACCGCTCGCACTGCTCGCAGACAGCGGGCGACGGGAGCCGGCTGCCCCAGACACCCCCAAACTGCAAGGGTCCTTCCGGGGAATCACGTGCCTGCGACGAGCACGCTGCGGCGAGGGTCGCGCAGCTCGAGATGGACCGGCCACCCACCGTCGTTGTCGTCGTCGTCGTCGTCGTCGTCGTCGTCGTCGTCGTCGTCGCCTTCGTCGTCGTCGTCGTCGTCGTCCTTCTGGGGAAATACGGGCCAGCCCCACCGCCAGGAGCACGCAGTGCGACCCGCCGCCACGCTGGCGTAAGCGGAGCCGCCTCGGCCGCAGGTCTGGAGAGAAGAAGGAGCTGCACCAAGCCAGGCAGCGATCCTCTTCATGAGCGTGTGTTCGAAGCTGTCTTCGGACCAGATAGTGTCCAGAGGTTTGATGAAGCTCCGCTGCGGCAGTGGCTTCTGCGCAAAGTGTGTATCATCTCGTACATGGCGACGCGCGATGACGATCGTGCACCGAGCATCATGACGGTGCCGGTGAAAGATACCAACAGGTCTGCCGGATTACATCGTGAAAATGTTGAGCAGCCGTGAAGGGTTCGATCCAGAATGAAGGCGACCACTGTCCACGAGCGAGGTCTACGAACCCGCAGAAGGTATCAGAGCCTTCTGGCACAACTGTGAACACCACATCGGCCAGATGGCTGAGGAATAGGCTGCAACCCCGCCATTGGGTGCCCGTCCCGAAGGTGGTCGGGGCCTTGGGCATCGCCCTAGGGGCCCGCGTCGCGAAAGATAGGGTGTGGAATTTGCGCGAGATGCTTGGAGACATCCGAAGGACTTCGTGTAGAGCATGATTTCATTTGCGAATGAGGTTCTTGGGACAGCCGAAAAGCTGCGCCAGGCAGCCCAAGATGGTGATGATTGAGGTCTGGTAGCGCCTAACGTTGGCGTCGACGCGGGCAGGAGAAGACGATAGAGCGACGATACGTGCCCACCACGTGGCGCCAGCCTCAACCCATTGCCTGTCATTGTTGGCTGCAGGTCCCACCCATGCGCCGCGGTGCGGAAGTCGCCCCAGGCCGGCAGCATGCCGTGTAGGAGCTCTTTGGTGGAGTCCGTGGGCACCTCGTCCAGCTGCCGCCAGCGGGTTCAGAGCGCATTTCTTGATATGGATGTCGAGGTCGCCGAAGCGTGCGGCCCGCTTGAAGATGTGCGCCAGAGGGACACGGAGCTCAATCGCCGTCGGGAGAGCCCCCCAGGCCGCGAGCGCCTGCTGCAGCCTCGCCCTGCGCAGAAGTGGGCAGGGCCTGCTGCACGGCGCGAGGAGCGATGTTCACTGCAGCCGCCCCGATGGTGCCCGAGACCGGGCAACGATGAGCAATCCCCGAGTCGATGGGGCAGAACAGTGATGCAGTCGGCCCGTATCAGGAGGATGCGCGATAAGGATGCAAGGGCCTCGGAAGGCCACTTCGAAGCTTTCCGAACGGGGCGCGGCCAACGAAACCGGCCAAGGATGGACCGAGGAGGCAAGGATGCAAGGGTCCCCTTGGGAAGGTTGACCATCCTTACTATGCGGGTTGACTGTAGGTGACCGTTTTTTTCTTTCGGGTGGGGAGGGGGGGAGGGCGGGAGGGTAACGGTAACGGCGGCCGCGGCGTGCGCCCGCCAGGGTGCGTCCGCGCCAGCGGCGCTTCAATCGCCTGTGTACACAACAAATGCCCAATGCCTGCGTGCAACACGGCGCCACCTGTGTACACATCACAATGCCTCCGCACACCACAACAGCCGCGTGCACTGCAGCACCACGTCGCCCATGCACACCGCAGTGCCTGCGTATACTGGAACAACCGTGGCATCGAATTGGACTCCACAGACAAACATTGTATGCAATAGGATTTGCAAAGGGGGCCCTATGGAAAATGGAGTGCCTCTGGATTCCACATAACCCAGATTTAATCTTAGAATTTGGAAAGGAATCGCTATGGAAAGCGGAAAGCCCCTGGATTCCACTGAAAAACATTTGTTTCATAAAGGAATCCCTCTGGAAATGAGGGCGCCTCTGGATTCCACTGAAAACGAAGGTTTTGAAAGAATCCGTGGAAATTGCAGCGCCTCTGGTTTTGGGCGCCTCTGGTTTTATAGAGGTACACGTGTCAAACAATCTCTACGTAAATTGGAACGCCAACGCCCGCGTACACCACAACAGCCGCGTGCAACACAGCGTCGGTGTACACCACAGTGCCTGCATGCACCACCGCGCTTGCGTACACCAGAGCGCCTGTGTACACCGCAGCAGCTGTGTGCAACGCATCGCCGGTGTGCACCACGCTGCCTGCGTGAACCACAGCGCCTGCGCACACCGCAGCGCCCGCGGGGGGCCGCCCAGTCTTCATTTGCTCCATGGCGCTGGGTCTACAAGCAATACGTGCAGTAAGGACGGGTGGAAAGGACGCAAGACACTTGGAAGCCGAAGTTGAGATTTTGTTGCAAAAGCTGGCCACTGAAAGCGGCAAAGGACAGGCTGCAGAGGCAAGGACACAATGGTACCCTGGAGAAGGCGCGCGTCCTTATTAGGCGCGTCGACTGCATCGCAATGCAACCGAGCACCGGCCAGAAGAAAAAGAGAGAGCCACCGCATTTTGCACTTGCGGAAGAGTGGTCGAACCAGCCTGCGGTAACTGGGCCATCTACAGCTGCACTGGACGACGACGACGAAGAAGACGACGACGAGGACGACGAGGACGACGACGACTCGAAGACGACGACGACCGACGACCAGCGACGGCGACGGCGACCGACGACGGCGACGGCGACGGCGACGGCGACGGCGACGACTGCGAGTGCCGCAAAACGTCTGTGAGCACCAATGCGTGCCATTCAGACCACGCCATGCCTGTGAGCACAGCACCGTACCTGCGGGGGATCCGCTCCCGGCATGAATGGGAGGGGGCAAGGCCCCCCCTCCCCCACGGCACGATCGTTCGCGTTACCGGGGGGGGAGGGGGGTTGGCCCGGGTGACGAGAGTTACTTGGCGGCGCGCACAAGGGGGTGGAGGGAGGGGGGAAGGCTTCTTAGAAGGAGGCTGCTTCTTAGAAGGCGCCGGCCTCACATCTATAGATAAAGCCCGCGCCTTCTAAGAAGCAGGGGTGCCTCTAAGAAGCCCTCACCCCTCCCCCCACCCCCCTCTGCGCGTGGCTGAGTTACGCCGGAGAGGGAACAACAAAAACGCTCACTAGTGAAGCCGAGAGAGCAGTCGTAGGGGCGGAGCTGGCCTCCGCGGCCGAAGCGGCAGGGCGCGAGGGCCGGGAAGGGGGCTCGCATTCTTTCCCTCGCTTCTCCTGTCCCTTCCCTCGGGCCTCCCGTCTTCCACTGCCTCCCCCCCCTCCTCTCACTTCCCCTCTCCACCTTCCCCCTTCCCACCCTTCTACTGCCCTGGATCGGAGAGAACCGCGACAGCCCCTTCTGCGCAGCCTCGGCTTCGGGAGGGGCCCTGGCACCGGGGCGGGAGCCCTAGATCTCCACGTCTTCGGAAGAGAGAGAGGAGAGAGAGAGAGAGAGAGAGAGAGCCGAGGTCAGGCGCTGTCCGGAAAAGATGGAGGGGCCCAAGGACACGCAAATCAAAACACCGAAATCCCAGGATTCCGTATATTTCTCCATCTTTGTTTGATTTTCGTCTTCTCCTACTTCCCATATTTTCGCATAGTTTCCTGGGAATCGGCGATTCATTGTGTCTGTGTGTTTTTCCCCTCCTGAAGAGAAGAGGAGGCAACGACTCCCTTGCGGGAGCTCATGCTCGCGAAGGCGGCGTGCGCCATCCCAAGGGGAAACCAAAGAAAGGTCACGGAGACGATGGGAATCAAAGTACGCCTGGGCCCGGGAAGAGGGTCGGGACGGCATGGAGGGGGGAGACACGAATAGGGTCTGGGTGGCTCTATCGCTCTTGCCTGCAGACGCCATCGCCCGGGGAGCGGGGAGAGAAGAAAGTAAGGACCCATACATCCAACGTCGTGTTTTTTTCAATACGGGGTCCCCTGAAAGCTCGACCCATTCCCCAAGACAGGTTTTTCATCCTGAGCCGTTTTTTGACGGTCCCAGGGCCCGGCGAGGGTCCCTAGAGGCCGAAAACTGAGAAAAACCTCCGTCATGATTTGTTCCGCCATGGTTTGTTCAATACGTTGGATCTCTGGGGGCCCAGATAAGGATGGCGAGCGCGAGGAGCAGGAGGGCGGCGACGACGACGCGGAGAAGACGACGACCTCACTGCAAGCCGCTGGGGCGGGCACTGGAGCCTTCTGCGTCGCACCCGTGGCAGCCCCGCAGGGCGCAAATATCACCTCGCGAGCGGGGCAGGGGCGGGAACACCTCTTTCATAGCATTGGCGAACTCCTCCTCCTCCTCCTCCTCCTCCTCCTCCTCCTCCTCCTCCTCCCCCTCCCCCTCCTCCTCCTCCTCCTCCTCCTCCTCCTCCCTCCTCCTCCTCCTCCTCCTCCTCCTCCTCCTCCTCCTCTCTCCTCCGCCTCCGCCTCCGCCTCCGCCTCCGCATCCGCATCCGCCTCCTCCTACTCCTCCTTCTCCTCCTCCTCCTCCTCCTCCTCTTCCTCCTCCTCCTCCTCCTCCTCCTCCTCCTCCTCTTCCTCCCCGTTCTCCTCCCTTTCTCCTCCTTCTCCTCCTCCTCGTGTGTTGATCTTCCTGCTGTTGTCGTACCGGCTCTCGTTTTACAGCCATCGTGCTGCCATAAGGTACGCCGAATGAGCCACGAAGGGGCTTTTCTGGCCACCTCGGGCCTCGGCCGCGAATAGGCTCCACGACCTAGAACCAAGGAGCGGCCCGAAACTCATAATCCTTTGAGAGCCCCAGGTTGTTCTGTCAGCGTCTCGACGGTGCGACCCGTTGATCAAACTCGGGTGGATGGGCTCTCAGCTCACAAGAGCAGGAGGAGGAGGCGGAGGAGGAGGAGGAGGAGGAGGGGGAGGAGGAGGAGGAGGAGGCGGAGGAGGAGGAGGAGGAAGCGAAGCGAAGAAAAGCGAAGCGCACCTAAACGCCCAAAGGGAGGGCCTGTAAAGACCGGTGCGGTGGGCCAGGGCCCGTTCACAGCTCGAGCATGTATGACACGTGCGAATCTTGTAAACTTTCCCAACGAGGGTCTGCAGCAGCTTCCAGCCAATCAGTGGGCATGTCTGTGTATTGGCTTTGGTGCGCTAAGAAGTATACGAGGTCATCGCACCATGTCTTCTGTACTCGGCCATGACGTCGACGCAGTTCTGGTCTCCACAAGGCTGCCTTTCGTGACCATCTGTCCCTCGATTGCGTGGCAACCCGTCTTGCCCATTTCCATTTGCGCGCGTGGTATACTGTAGCCCAATCATAAACTCGAGCGCGGCGAGCATGTGTCTCTGCTATGTTGGTCACTCGTTTGATGAAGTCGATCCACGGCTCTAGGTCGTCGTCTTCGTCGTCAGGAACGTCGTCGTGAACTGAGTCGGCGTGGGATGTCTGGGAGTCGGTGGTGTCGGAATGCCCGTCGCTGCAATCATGATGGTCGTCTCCTTGTGACTTGATCACGGCGTCGTCCGGTCCGGCCTCGTTTTGGTCAGGGTCACGTTGTGATCGTCTTCGAGGAGACCCCACTATCAAACGTAACATACGTCGCTGTGTTCTCGTCAGAGCGGTCAGGAGGAGGAGGAGGAGGAGGAGGAGGAGGAGGAGGAGGAGGAGAGCGTGTGGGACAACAGACGGGAGAGCACGCGTGAGAGCACGCACGAGACCCTGCGGGAGACCCTGCGGGAGGCCCTACGGGAGGCCCTGCGGGGGACCCTGCGGGAGGCCATGCGGGAGGCCATGCGGGAGGCCCTGCGGGAGGCCCTGCGGGAGGCCATGCGGAAAACCATGCGGGAGTCCCTGCGGGAGGCCATGCGGAAGACCATACGGAAGATCATGCAGGAGACCATCCATGCCTGCCTGCGGGAGGCCATGCGGGAGGCCATGCGGGGGACCCTGCGGAGGGCCATGCGGGAGGCCATGCGGGAGGCCATGCGGAAGACCATACGGGAGGCCCTGCGGGAGACCATCCATGCCAAGGGCCAAGGGCTACCTATTCAGAGGTCCAGATTCGCTCACACCGTGCCCCAGAAAACATACGCACTCAGGACCCGTACAGAGAAGCTGCTCAGGGAAATGCTAGCGCCACCCATTCCCCACTGTGACATGTATGTTCTCAATATTGGTGCTATTATTGCAGTCGATGGTGACCTTGTGCGTCAGACTGAGCTTCCCGCGTGAATTCTCGTCAGATCTTGCGACAGGACGTCTCGAGGTCTCGGGGATGTCGCAGACGAAAATGTCCAGTGCTTCGATGCGTGAGACTGTCGCGTAGCTTGCCCTCTCCGCTCCCTCCTCCCCCCCTTTCCTCCCCCATCCATTCTTTCCTCAGAAAAGATCCCCCATCCACCTCCCCTGCGGTAGGTTCGTGCGGCGTCGGCACGCGCGAAGGCTTGTGATACCGCGTGGACCGTTCAACCTTGAATCGATCGCGGCCCCGATCGTTCAAGGCTGAATTCCATCAGGTCCAGTGGCATTACCTTGTCCCTCGATGGCTCCGCGTCGCAGAATTCAACCTGGAACGCCCTCGCCGGCGTCGCCGGCGTCGCCGGCGCGCCAACGCCGCATGAACCTATCGTATCCGTCCTACTCCCTCCCTTTCGCCCTCGCCCCTCGTCCGTCCGCCCTCGCCCCTCCTCCCTCTCCCCTCCGTCACCAGGCCCTCGTCCTCCTCCTCCTCCTCCTCCTCCTCCTCCTCCTCCTCCTCCTCTCGTCCTCCTCGGCTCCCCGCCCCGCCCGCCGTCTCTTTTTCCTCCCGATCGTCGCCCTCCTGCTATGCCACAGACGTTCCTCAAGGCACACAGAATCCACGCGCAATCCGAGACTTTCGATATAAAGGGGGGGGGAACTGCTTCTCGTCACCTTCCCCTCATCCTCGTCTCCTCGTCCTCCTCCCCACCGTCCTCCTCTTCAGCGCACTGTTAAACTTTTTGATAAAAACGATGGCTGGCATTCTTGGGAGCCTTGGTTGTGGGGCTCCAGATGCAGTAGCTGTTTGAAGTTTTATGGTGGAACGAAGGACGCGAGACCCGAGTCGGGTTGTTCTGGCCTCCCTGCGAGGGTGAAGGAACTCTTGACCACTTCCCCTCAACACGGCCACCAGTTGGCCTCCACCCAAGTGGCGAACCAGTCTAAGCCACTCTTCTTCTGTATGCTGTGCGGATACTTCGCCCAACACAGGATTTTTAAGTTAGTCAAGCGTTGTGAGCAGCCTCGCACGGACGAGGAAAGGAGCAGCGCTGGCACTACGGCTCTCAGAAGGTTGCGAAGAGGTCTGCACCCTAGCTGACGGTCACTTGTACGGAGCAAGAGGCTCCACTCACTCTCGAAGAGGCTAATTCGTACGAGCAGGCAGTTCGGCCTGTGCGGATTCCAGCTCATGCCAGCTACCTTGATAGGCTAGCTGCTCTGCGTGCGCGTGTTGCCGAGAAGGAAGCGGGCGCGGTGGAGCGGGGAGTGGGTGGGGGAGTGGCAAGTCGGTCTTCGGCTGAGGTGAGGTCGTCCAGGCCTGATCCTGAGCCATTCGGTGACATGTTCGAAGCAGATGATGAAGCTTCCCGTTTTATGTTTGAGAGCGTGGACACACCCCATGCGGCGGCGTCCTCTGCTCCAGCTGATCCCAGGTCCATGCTCCGACGTGTGGTGGACAACCTGCGGGAAGAGGAGGATAACGCTCCTCTGGTCGCAGGCGCGGTCAAGGATGGCCACGATTCGGGATCAGATTGAGGCGTGTTGAGAGGCGGCTGGCCAAGGCCCTCCTCCCCTCTGGGAGGTGTGAGCTGTGGCCTCCTGCTTCTCTCCGTCGCCCAGTCTTCTGGGCCGCTGTGCGGCCAACTTGAAACTGGTTCGGTGAACTGTGACCAAAAACAAAATCTCCTGCCTCCCCGCCACCGTCCGCCTCACCGCCTCGCCTCCCCGTCCTCTGCCCGGGGGGGCCGCGGCCTGGTCCCCGTCCGTGAGCCCGTAGACGCTCGCGGTGGCACCCGGGTCCAGCCGGCCTTCGTGGCTGGGCGTGGTCATCACGAACTCCGCCTCTCGGCGGCTCGCTTCCTCCCAGCCCTCCTCCTCCTCCTCCTCCTCCTCCTCCTCCTCCTCCTCCTCCTCCTCCTCCGCCTCTCGGCGGCGTCGATCCCAGACCCCCTCGCGCTGTGAAAAGATCACGGCGGGAGGTTTTTCGCTCGTGTCGGGCACCAAGGGCCCTTCCCGGGCCTCGGGGCCGTCGAAGATAGACCCAGGACGGGAAACCGGTCCCGGGGAAGGGGGTGCAGACCTCTGGGGGTCGACGTGGCGAACAAATCAACGACGTAGGGGGGCTGGGAACGCGGGACGCGGGTGCGTGCCGTCGGGCTGCTGCAGGCAGGGGCGCCGCAGAAGGAGCGAGGCCCCCTCTTGGCACCGGGAAGGGCCTGGGTGCACGAGGACGGCTCGAGGAACAGCCGCGGGATGCCCTGAGGAGCAGCGGGCCCCGTTCAAACCCAAAGCGGTCCTTATCTCAGCGCCTAGAGACGACGACGACGACGACGACGACGACGACGACGACGACGACGACGACGACGACGACGACGACGACGACGACGACGACGACGACGACGACGACGACAACGACGGGGGAAACGGAACGATTATCATGCCGTTTTTGTTCTTATCAAAGTGAGAGGGGGCAGGCCTTCTCAGAAGGCGGCGGGGCTTCTCAGAAGCCCTCCCCGGCCTTCCGAGAAGCCGCCCCCGTTTTCAGAGGCATTTCCGACTCCAGATACGCCGTAGACTGGGGCAAAAATTTACCCCACACGATGCGAAACAAGCAAGGCGGAAACTTCCGCCCCAGAAAAATCGGGCGGAGATGTCCACAAAGGTATGGCGGTAATAGCGACGACAGTGTAGGGAGGAACTCGACATCAAATGAGCTCGACAAGTAGGGCGGATATCTTCGCTCCACTCGCGAAATCGGCCAGAGTGCGGCGGATCTGGAGCAAGGCGTAGGAAACTCTGCGGAAGACCACCTTCCGCAGAGGCCCGACCCCTCTTGACGGAGCCCAGGGACACACAAAGAAATGGACACACATCCCAGGACCCCCAATATTCTCACATATGTTCTGGGTCCTCGTCTTCTCACGTTCCCCATATCTTCCTGGGGGTCGACGATCACTCGTGCCTGTGTTTTTTCCGGGCGTTGGCAGAACTGGGTTTAGTGGGACCTGGTTTAAAGATGTGTACTCGGGGGCACCCCCCCGCCCCGTTCCACTAAGCGGAACTGCCGTCGCCCGAAAAAACACCAGCTACGGCAGACCTGGCTTGGTGATTCTGGCCCATTGAGGGGCTCCAGGGCCCTACTACTAACCGCGACCCCTTCCCTGGGGTCCTGGCTGTGCCCGATTTTCTCCCCTCCGGACCTCCGCCCTCTCGGCTACTCGTAAGAGTGACCCTGGGTAAGAGTGACCTTTGGTGCGCGGCTTTTGGGGGGCCGCGGGGAGGCCAAATCTAGGCGCGCTAGCCGCTGCTACCGCTTCGCGTTCGGCCATCTGGGGGCCCATCAGTGCCCGCACTGAAGGTCACTCCGGCGAAAGGTCACTCTTACGTCTTGTCGAGCCCCCCCCCCCCGGGGCGCGCCGCGGAGCCTCCGGCCCGGCCTGCCGAAACGTGGCGTAGGCCTTCATGAACCGGCGCAGGGGCTGGTCCCAGCGCATGCGGAAGACCTGCGGCGAGTGGCTCCCGTCCTCCGGGCAGGACGGAGCTCGGGGGCGGCCAAGAGGGGGGCGTCCAAGAGTGAAGGGGCCCTGGGACACGCCAATAAATACACACAGATAACCGGATTCCCCATGTTTTCCCATTTTTTCTGGGTTTTCGTCTTCCCCCCCACTTCCCGTAGTTTTCCATATTTTCCTGGGGATCGACGATGAATTGTGGCTGCGTGTTTTCTTCCCTTCTGAAAGGGGGGGGCGCAAACCAGGGCCCGCACCTGGGGAAATACCACGGCCCACGCCATGATATCCCCCCCCCTAGTCGTCCCCCCCTTCTTTGCCGCCCCCGAGTTGAGCCAGGGCGAGGACAAACATCCGGGCGAGGATGGACTGGGACTCTCTGAGGGCCGGCGGCTCTGGAGGATGCCTCCGGCGCCGCGGCCCTCTCAGGAGCGCCCTGAGCGCTCTGCGAGCGCTGCGGAGCGCTCTGTGAGCGAGCAACGACACATGTGCATGTACGCGCCCTCTGCGGTCTTGCCTGCACGAACGTCCGCGTTTAAGCGCACTCCAGGGGAAGCTAACCGCGTACGTGTACATATGTTGCTGGCCTCTGACTCTGGAACGACTTTGCCCTCCTGCTGGCCCCGTCCGATCCTCGCTGGTGGCCAGGAGGTGCACGAGGCCGTCCGGGTTCTGCGACACCATCGCCCAGGCCGCTCGCTGGGCGAACCCGGGGGGGGGAAGCGGAGCGCCCCGAGCAACCAGAGGGGCTGTGCACCAGCAGCTGAAGAGCTCGGGTCGCGGTCTGCGCGCGGTCGCCCCAGGCTTGCACGCAGGCGTGCTTTCATCAGCGGCCCGAGGGAACTACACCGAGCAGCCGCTCGAGATGGCGGGAAAAACCTCCGATCTTCCAGGAAGGTGGCGAAAGAAGACCCTTCCCCCGAGGCTTGTGTCCACGACCGGCGATATTCGCCAGCGTGGCAGTGCGGGCCGCCGCAACTCTTGTTCGGACCATGGGGCGGGCCGACAAAGAAAAGCGGACCAAGCAAGGGGCCGAACCGGGCCGGAGAGCGAGCCGAGGGGCAAGAAAGGGAGGGGGAGAGGGAGGAGGGACGACAGGAGGAGACAGACCGGCGCAGACCGGTCCGACTGACTGGGGGACGGGGGACACGATTCCTTCGCTCTTGCTGGCTTTCCTGTTCTCTTCCTCTCCACCCCTCAAAAGAAGCCTGGCCAAACTGGGGGTTCGACCGCGCCCCCAGCTGCAGCAGCAAACTCGGCCCAGCGCGGCGACAACGGATGCGTGTCGAGGAGCACCAGCGGCATAGCCATCATTGCTCGGAGGTCCGCACGGAGTTCTTGCATCGGAGCTGACCCCCCCCTCCCTGGCGCGCGGAGCGCGCCAAGGGGCCGCCTGAGGCGCCGCCAGGGAGGCCCGACGCCGATCCAACAAATCCGCGCGGACATCCGCGAAGTTGCGCTCATGCGGCTGTTTCTTCGGGCGCGCAAGACGAAGCCAAGACGAGGGCACAGTCGGGCGAGGGTAGATCGGGAGATCCGGCGGCTCTGGAGGATGTCTCGGGTGTCGCGGCCTTCTCAGAGCGCTCTGGAACGGATCTATCCTCGTCCTGGCCCCGCCCGAACGTGCTCCTCCTCGGGGGGTCGGGGCAGGCGCGCGCCCGAGGCGCGAGAGGGTGGAGCAGCGAGGGGCAGGAGACGGAGCAGCGGCAGCAGCGGGACCAGCCAACGCCGTGGAGGAGGAGCACAGCCAGCAGGAGCCCGTGTCCCTCCAGAAGAAGACGGAGAGAAAGAAGAACAAGAAGAAGACGAACAATAACGTAGCACCCCGCAGTTGCGGATAAGAGTGAGGGGGCGGCGGGGACGTCGGCAGTCTGCGAGGCTTTGAAGGAGCCCGCCGCAGGCGCATAAATTTTCAAGCTCTACAACGAGCCCGCCGCAGGCGCCGATTTATTGTTGAGGCAATGGGTCGCGGTTGGGTTGCAGGTGGGTCGACGGTGGGTCGCGGGTGGGTCGCGGGCCGGGTCGCAGGTGGGTCGCGGGTGGGTCGCGGGTGGGTCGCGAGCGGGTCGCGAGCGGGTCGCAGGGTAGACCGCGGGGGGTGGGTCGCGGTTGGGTCGCGGTTGGGTCGCGGGGTGGGTCGCGGGTGGGTCGCGAGGTGGGTCGCGAGGTGGATCGCGGGCCGGGTCGCGGTTGGAAAGACTCTCGCTAGTGGACTGGCATCTCCCGCGAATGCAAAGCAACATACATACGGGGGGGGAGCGGGCCTCCTCCTCCTCCTCCTCCTCCTCCTCCGCCTCCTCCTTCTCCCCAGAGGTCTGGAGCTGTTCCCTGAGACCCTCAGTGTGGCGGACGCATGGTGGCGGTGGCATTGGCGCCTTCGGTGGGACTCCCTATGGGGCCAGGAAACGTGTGAAGGGTGTGCCGACATTCGTGTGGGGGACGCATGCGGGCGGTGGCACTGGGGCCTTCGATGGAGCTCCCTATGGGGCCACGAAACGTGTGAGGGGTGTGCCGAAATTTGTGTGGGGGACGCATGCGGGCGGTGGCACTGGGGCCTTCAGTGGAGCTCCCTATGGGGCCACGAAACGTGTGAGGGGTGTGCCGAAATTCGCGTGGGGGACGCATGCGGGCGGTGGCACTGGGGCCTTCGGTGGAGCTCGCTATGGGGCCACGAAGCGTGTGAGGGGTGTGTCGACATGGGTGTGGGGGACGCATGCGGGCGGTGGCATTGGGGCCTTCGGTGGGGCTTCCTATGGAGCCACGAAACGTGTGAGGGGTGTGCCGACATGGGTGTGGGGGACGCTTCCTATGGAGCCACGAAGCGTGTGAGGGGTGTGCCGAAATTTGCGTGGGGGACGCATGCGGGCGGTGGCACTGGGGCCTTCGGTGGGGCTTCCTATGGAGCCACGAAACGTGTGAGGGGTGTGCCGACATGGGTGTGGGGGACGCATGCGGGCGGTGGCACTGGGGCCTTCGGTGGGGCTTCCTATGGAGCCACGAAACGTGTGAGGGGTGTGCGGAAATTTACGTGGGGGACACATGCGGGCGGTGGCACTGGGGCCTTCGGTGGAGCTCCCTATGGGGCCACGAAACGTGTGAGGGTTGTGCCGAAATGGGTGTGGGGGGCGCATGCGGGCGGTGGCACTGGGGCCTTCGGCGGAGCTCCCTATCGGGCCACGAAACGCGTGAGGGGTGTGCCGACATGGGTGATGATGCTGGTGATGATGACGGTCGTGATGATGATGACGATGATGATGATGATGACGATGATGATGATGATGATGATGATGATGATGATGATGATGATGATGATGATGATAATGATGTTGATGATGATGATGATGCTGATATTGATGATGATGATGATGATGATGATGCTGATGATGATGATGATGATGATGATGATGATGATGATGATGATGATGATGATGATGATGATGATGATGATGATGGGGACGCTGATGGTGATGATGATGATGATGATGATGATGATGATGATGATGATGATGATGATGATGATAATGATGATGACGGGAAGAGAGAGGAATGGTGAGGAGGAAGAGGAGGAGAGCAGGAGAGGAACGCGGGGCGACGTCTCTTCAAAACGAGGACCCAACACCACAGGATGGTTGGGAACAATAGGCTCCAGCTGCGTCCGTGCGCACGACGACGATGAGCGACGAGCGACGAGCGACAACAACGACGACGACGACGAAGACGACGACGGCGGCGGCGACGACGACGACGACGACTTCGGACTGCGCACTCTTATGCGGACACCTGTGGGGATCACGATGCGCACGGCGGCAATGCCCGGAACGCACTGGGGGGGGAGCGTTACGTCATGGGGGGGGGGCCAGGGGCCATGACGCCCGTCATGCCCCAAGCAATAAAGAAACGTTCTCCAATTGCTGGTATGGGTCCCAACCCAGCAGAATGCCTACCACCAGCTAGTCACGTCTCAGCCACGCCTCTGTCACTCGCATGCGTAGCCGCAGACCCACGGCAACCACAACGACGAGAGCCCGAGACACGCGCAAGCGCAGTCGTCAATTTCGTCATCATGGTCGTCGTCGCAGCCGTCGTCGCCGTCATGGCTAGCTTGCATCGGCCACCGCTGCCAATGTCCGAATCATCGGGGTGGTCGTCGTGATCGAATTTTTCGTCGAGGTGAGGGTGGCCGCATAATTGTGCGTGTCGATACTGGTCGACGCAATCGTCGTCTTCGTCGCGGCTGTTATCGTGGCGTCCCTCGTCGTCGGTAGTCCAGCCGCCAGTCAGAGGCCTTTCTCAATTACCTATTCCCCAAACAGTGCTGATACTTAGGGTATCTCGCTTGTCTCTAGAAGGGTTCGGTTGGGTGCGGCGAGGACTTTCCACGTTGCCGCCCGTCGCCTCGTGGCCGCCTCGCGCGCTGGGTTGGTCCGGCTAAGGCTCGCCACGTTGCCGCCACATGGCCGCCTCGTGCGCTGGGTGGGTCCAGCGGGGTTTCGCCACGTTGCCGCCTCGTGGCCTCCTCGTGGCCGCCTCGTGCGCTGGGTGGGTCTGGCGAGAGTTCGCCACGTTGCCGCCCGTGGCCGTCTTGTGCGCTGGATGGGTCCGGCAAGGTTTCGCCATGTTGCCGCCCGTGGCCGCCTCGTGACCGCCTCGTGCGCTGGGTTGGTCTGGCGAGGTTTCGCCACGATGCCGCCCGTGGCCATCTCGTGCGCTGGGTGGGTCCGGCGAGGTTTCGCCACGTTGCCGCGTCGTGGTCGCCTCGAGCGCTGGGTGTGTCCAATGAGGTTCGCCGCGTTGCCGCCCGTGGCAGCCTCGTGGCCGCCTCGTGCACTGGGTGGGTCCAATGAGGTTTCGCCACGTTGCAGCCCGTGGCTTCCTCGTGGCTGCCTCGTGCGCTGGGTGGGTCCGGCGAGATTTCGCCAGTTGCCGCCCGTGGCCGCCTCGCGGCCGCCCCATGGGTGCATTACACAGCTCACACCACATTGATTGCACCGCATAACTTACACCTCGTAGCTCATACCACACACAATGCACCACATGATTGACACCGCACAGCTCACGCATCATAGCTCACACCACGTAGATTGCACCGCATAGCTTACACGACATAGCTCACATTACATACATCGCACTGCGTATAGTCTCCTTTCTCAGAACAGAATAAGATCTACCCCCCCCTGGTGTTATCACTCCCCCTTTCGGGTATGTAAATCACATATCATTCTGGCCACATGTCCATCCTAAATATGAAATCACAATGTCAAATGCCAACCGGTATCCCCCCCCTGAGGTTCCCTTGTAAAAAAACATTATGCGGTGACATTGTTTGCTCTAACATAGCTCTTTTTCGCGAATCCCTTGCAACAAATGGGGCGAAGTGCACACGCGCGCGTCGTCGCGCGCGCATGCCGAAAGCCTTCAAAAACCTTCGGTGCCGGAAGGATTTCGCAATCGAGTTTCCAAAACACATACAAAACACAGGGTTTCGCAACACTGATTTGCTAAAAAAGCTTCCGCGCGAGCTCTTGCGAAATCTGGGGAAAACCATAGGTTTTTCAAGATTTTCACAACATCCTATTAAACGGGCTTCGCGCGCGCATGTCAAAATCTGTCGAACGCCCTTGCGCCTGTGCCGTCGCGAGAATCCCCTGCAAAAGCGGGACGAAGTGCAGACGCGCGCGTCGTCG